GCGTGTGCGAGCAAGGAGACCTACAAACCTGACAAAGTTACACCAGCTCTGTCAGGAGGAATGGGCCAAAATTCACCCAACTTATTGTGGGAAGCTTGTGGAAGGCTACCCGAAACGTTTGACCCAAGTTAAACAATTTAAAGGCAATGCTACCAAATATGAATTGAGTGTATGTAAACTTCTGACCCACTGGGAATGTGATGAAAAAAATGAAAAGCTGAAATAAATCATTCTCTACTATTATTCTAACATTTCACATTCTTAAAATAAAGTGGTGATCCTAACTGACCTAAAACAGGGAATTTTTACAAGGATTAAATGTCAGGAATTGTGAAAAACTGAGTTGAAATGTATTTGGCTAAGGTGTATGTAAACTTCCGACTTCAACTGTGCATATATACACACACACACACACACACACACACACACATATCTATATACACATACATACATATATATACACATACATACATATACAGTGAGAAAAAAAAGTATTTGATCCCCTGCTGATTTTGTACATTTGCCTACTGACAAAGAAATGATCCGTCTAGAATTTTAATGGTAGGTTTATTTGAACAGTGAGAGACAGAATAACAACAACAAAAATCCAGAAAAACGCATGTCAAAAATGTTAAGACAGTGAAGACAGTGACCTAAGACAGTGAATTGTTACTAGGATTAAATGTCAGGAATTGTGAAAAACTGAGTTTAAATGTATTTGGCTAAGGTGTATGTAAACTTCCGACTTCAACTGTACTTGTGCTGGTGGGAACATGTCTTTGTCTTTTCAGCTGTTTGACCCATTGGGTGATTAAACTTGGTTTGAGCTATACTAGTCGTCCGTTAGTTTTTTACTCTGCTGAATCTAACAGTATCATTATTTTTACTATTTTTTTACTTTTTGTTTTATAATATCTTTGTATTTTTTTTTACTATTTGATTATCTTAGTCATTGTATATCATGCCTGCTTTAAGTCTGGTTTTGGGGTGGGACTCCATTAGAGCATTGGGGGGTTGGGGTGGGTTTGATTTGATTTGGTAGAGGATCCGTGTGTGTTCTGCGCTCTACCTGTTCTGTCTGTTATCTGTATAATCATAAAAAATGACAAATAAAAAAACCTTTGAGAAAAAAAAAAAAAGAAACAGCTAAGATTAGCATTCCAGCAACATTATTTTGTTGAAATATAATTAGATCTCTGAAAAATTTAGCTAATTGATTGCACCCATATTGGCCTTTTTAATTTATAGGATTCATATAATATTCAATAAATATAGTACCTAACATCTGATTTGGACCAACTTTTTTCTAACAATGTTAGACATGAGGAATCCAAAGAAATTGTCAAAAGCCACCCACGGACCCCCACACCCCACGCCAATCCCACCCCAACAACGAGTATATGGGAATTAACATAAACCCAACAACTATATGGGAAATAAACCCAAGAACTTCAATGACTCATTTCTCTGAACAGAGGAAAAAAACATCCACAAATTCACTGAGAATACATTACATAGGTGAAGAAACAATCCTTAAAGCCGCAGCTCGGAGTATTGCATTTCAACAAAATATTGTTTCCGGAATGCTTATCTTAGCTGTTTCTAACTACAGAACAACTTCAGAACAATCTGAGATGGTGGGTGTCATGGCTTGCTGAAATGACATGGAACGACCCATGACAAAGCATGGACGACACATCTTAAATATTAAGGGGTTTGTGAGAAAGTGTTTAGATATATTGTGGGGTTTCACTCACCACCTTCCGGAGACACTTGAAACCCCACCTCTTTAAGGAATACCTGGGATAGGATAAAGTAATCCTTCTACCCCCCCTTACCCCCCAAATTTTTTTAAATAAAAAATAAAAAAATACATATTGTAAAGTGGTTATCCCACTGGCTATAAGGTGAATGCACCAATTTGTAAGTCGCTCTGGATAAGAGCGTCTGCTAAATGACGTAAATGTAAATATATAAAATGCATTATTACTATTATTATTAAACAATAATATGGTGAGTGAGCTCAAATTAGCCACACCAATGCTGAATCAAGTTCTTTAGAAGTTTTTTCATACATGTGTAGAAATAACTTTTCTTCCATACTGAACCGGAGCGAGGTGGCATGGCTTTGTGACACTTAGCTATGTCAAATAGCAAGCCATAATGCTATACTGATAGCTGACCATGAAGATGAGAACACTGATCCACTATCATTAAAACAAACACTCACATACAGGTATGCTGTGGAGTAGCTATAATTATAACTACCCAATGGGCAACATTTTGAGATCTGATGTTCTATCAAGGTTGTTTTAAGGTCATTGGGTTATCGCTCCTGGCCATTGCTCATGACCAATATGCTACGATGCCACAAAATTAGAATGTAGACACTGATTGAACAGTCATCAAAAAGACACCACAGTTCACCAAGACCAATGTTAATTAGTCTGATAAATAACACTGGTGCAACCATCGAACAACATTTAATGGTCTGATGAATTGGTGAAACCATACTACAACTGAAAATGCTCACAAAGACGTATAGGAGTCAGGCTAAAGTCAGGGTCTGACCTGCACAGGCCGGTCTTGGAGGAGGTGTAGATGAGGTGCTCCTTGAAGTTATAACAGTTTATAACAGAGTTTATAAAAGAGTCATGACATTGTGTCATAACAACATGCCTCATTAAAACCCTAGACAGTGGGTGCTATAGATGGTGGCCTTGCATATTTATAAGCTTTCCCATAATGTCCAAATGTTTTTCCTGGTCAAGTCATGTGGTCAAGAAAAAACAATCTGTTGTAATTGAATGACATAATAACAAGTACATACCTGAGCACCATCTATTCTGTAGAAAATCGATCAGCAGTTGTGCCTGAAAATAAAGTTAACACCTTTCTGAATCTAAATGTCCCTGCCCAATACTGATATTACATACCTGGACAGAAACCTAATTTCAATTGTTTCCACAATGAGGAAGTTCGTTCTCTTACAAAATATGTTCTTTGTTCAGGTAGCAATACTTACAGTCAAGGAAGCACATTTTTGGGGGAAAGCTTTTGTGATGATAGCCTCTTTGATTTCACAGCATCACTTTCCTGTAAGAGAATAGGAGAACAGCTTAATTATGTCATCTCATTCCTACTTATTGGCCAACTATCATCTTTATCGCTCAGAAACAGGTACTTCAGTTTTTTCAGAGGAGCGTATGTAATGTGTATTATCCCTTTCAAACCAAGATGAAAACCCGGCAACAAAGCCTGTACTTTCATTTCCGCCAACCGACCTAGTCATGATCATTGCAATGTGTTTAAAAGTTCTGCAAACCCCTCAGTATAAATGTCCCCTTTCAGTTTACCGGCTTTGGCATGCATTCAATCATGAACATTCTGTTGTTGTTGTAAGACCTCAAACTTGGCAGTCTGCATAGCCGTAATGATGAAGCGGCATTTGCATGCACTACACTGACAGGCATGTATCAAATTGTTGCTTACTGAAACTCCCGAAGTGATCCAATCGTTATAGTACATTTGAAGCAATGCCCGCGTGCGGTCAACTAGATTATATAATTTCACTACCGTTTTGATTGAGACAGCGCCATCGCACTGCTTTGAGACAAGCGTGGGAACTCGTCTTGATAAATCAGTCAATGTCAGATTTTTTCCCCCACTAAATCTCTGTTTGGATATTTGGTTGCAATTAGGCTGGGGAAATGTTAGTTAAGTTGAGGTGATTGCTGCTCATGTTCATCCTTAGTCTAGTTGGCTCTATTCGCACTAATCATAACATTTTGCTGGAATGTAGTTTACAAGTGCATTCTTTTTGCTATTCACTTGCTTAGTAGGCTACTCCCGACCAAAATTATGTGACTTGTCTGATAATCAATCAATGTGATTTTGTTTCAGAAACAGGTACTTCAATGTGGTAATTGCTCTGTCTGTATATTTGGTTACTTGGTCTCTGGCTGGGAAAATAAGTAGGTGGCGGTGATAGCTCATCTATTCATTTGCTCATCTATCACTGATCAGAAAAATGTAGCTTGTAATAATGTAGCCTAAATCAAGTGTAGGCCTATTATGTTGCTCGATTGTATATAGGCAACTACAAAAGCCCGCTGAGGTTGTGAAATTTGAACACGGTTCCACGTGTTCCTGTGACACTCAAGATGTGTGGGAAAAATATTATTTATATTTTGTTTTGTTATATTCCATTACATTGCTACTATAAAATATACACTGAGTATATCAAACATTAGGAACACCTTCCTAATATTGAGTTGCGTCCCCCCCCCCCCCCCCCCCTTTTTGCCCTCAGAACAGACTCAATTCGTCAGGCATGGACTCTACAAGGTGTCGAAAGCGTCCCACAGGGATGCTGGCCCTTGTTGACTCCAATGTTTCTCACAGTTGTCTCAAGTTGGCTGGATTTCCTTTGGGTGGTGGACCATTCTTGATACACACGGGAAACTGTAGAGCGTGAAAAACCCAGCAGCGTTGCAGTTCTTGACACAAACCGGTGGACCTGGCACCTACTACCATACCCCGTTCAAAGGCACTTAAGTATTTTGTCTTGCCCATTGTCCCTCTGAATGGCACATGTACACAATCCATGTCTCAATTGTCTCAAAGCTTAAGAATCCTTCTTTAACCTGTCTCCTCCCCTTCATCTACATTGATTGAAGTGGATTTAACAGGTGACATCAATAAGGGATCATAGCTTTCACCTGAATTCACCTGGTCAGTCAGTCTATGTCATGGAAATGTTTTGTATACTCAGTGTATGTGTGTTGGCTGTGATCATGGTGTCTTGTCTGTTTAATTAAAAAAATATTGATTTAACTTGCATGCCGCAGCCATGTAGTACAGACAAGTAACATAATTAAACTCAAAATATGCTAATCTATTATTTTGAAAATACATGCTATTAGTCTTATAATGTTTCTTAGGACCTGCCTAAACTAATTGATAATGGATTTCTTGATGATGGTGTATATTCAATGGATTTATTCAAATAGACGCCCACCAACATCTGCAAAAAAAAAAAAATATATATATATAAAATATAAAAAAATATATATACATCTGCACACCCAACATCTGCACACCCCCACTGTGCACCCGTCACCGGCATGCTGACATGCGCACCGAAGGTATAAAAGGCTTATGCCAGCAAGAATGTGGTAAAAATGGGCCTGTTTGAAAGGGGGTCATACAAACATTGGACTTTTTTTTTTTTTACATCCTACGTGAAAGGAGTAACTGGGAGAATCTCAATTGCATTCTCCTCACGTCCTCTCTCCTCGCCTCCTTCTCAAAACCCATTGGAGGAGAAGGTCAGAGGGGAGGGACCTCCAGCTTTCTCATCCAATGGGTTTTGGGAAGGAGACGAGGAGAGAAGATGCGAGGAGTATGCAATTGAGATCTTCCCTATGTGTCTCATCTGAGCTCCACTAGCAGGCACAGCAGACAACATGAAGTCTATGGTCAGATTATTAAAAAGACACTCATCATACTCTCTTTCTCTCACGCTCTCACTCGTTCCTTTTTTCTTGATTTCACTTATTCTGACACTCATTCATGCTTTCGCCCACACGCATTTTCACTCTCTATCTATTTCACTCTCTATTGCACTACCTATAAAAGGGACTTGGCTAATCTGTATTCCCACTCCTCCCTACAGTTGCGGGCACCAACATTTTAGGTTGCGTCAACGTATTGGACGAACAATTGCCGCAATGTGTGTGCAACAGGGTTTTAAAAACGTTTTAGTGCCCATAACTGTACATATCTCCTACATGCGCCTCCTGTACCTACCTCCTGTAGACTGTCCTGTAGACTCTCTATGTGTGAACGGCAGTTCTCCAGATCGCTGTCTCCTGGGACCGTGATGATGCCCAGTGGGATAGCTGAGACAGAGAAAAGACATTCAGTTACAGGTGTTTGCTAATGGGCTGGAGCAAAAGCCTGCATTTATGGATCTGCTATACCCCTGCCATAGTAGTCTCCCTAGTAAAGGAATGGTAGAGGTGTGGTGTGTAGAATATGTATGTTTTTACTTACAGGCCTCTTTGAGCTTGTCCTTGTTGTAGTGCAGGCCCTCATAAGTGTGCATGCTGATCCTGTTCACTCTGATCTGCAGCTTCTCAGGAACTGGCTGCTGACTTAGACGACACAGACAGAAACATGATTTTTTTTACATATTGTATAGGTTATTGTTGGCCACGAGTGAGTTACTAGAAATCCATATGGAATCATATGGGTAGCCTTAACTCTAGCCTCGACTACAGTCATTCTAGGTTCCTCATCAAGCCAATTGCCGAACGGGAATACAGTGTTGAGGTCTGGTATCACAAGGTTTAGGGCTACTAACTCATTGAGCTGGGGCATGGAGATCCTCCTCTTGGTCTTTTGCACCATCTTGGCCTGGTTCCTCAGGTTGATGTGGATGACGGAGGGGGCTAGCTTACAGGGCTCGCCGTCCACCTGCATGGGGATTGACTTGTACGTGGTCAGGGTCACCTCCTTACACTGGTTCAACCTTTTGCCGTGACCACCCGCTTGCAGAGTGGGATGAACAGGAAGACAGGACATTGAACTGAATTGAATACATTTTATTGATCCCCAGAGGGAAATTGAGAGATACTGATGAGAGTTGAATGACGATGTTGTAATGAAAATAACATTCAGACAACGCATCACAATCCAAGCCTGAATATTAGTTGAAAGAGTCCAATGGTGCTTAAAATAACAAAATAGATATACACATAGACTATAACGTGCATGTTAGGTGCATATGGTAATGAATGTGTTCCATGAGATGTAAAGGACATCAGAGAAGGTTGAGAGCTCACCAGAGAGGTCATGGTGAATCCGATGACCTCGATGCAGCCGTCGTCGTGTCTCTGTGGCTCAAAGTCAAGGTGCTCACTGTGGTGACCCCATGGCTTGGTGCCGGCACAGTAACTGCAGTACACAGTCAAATACTTGATAATAAGTATAATGCAGGTTTAATGCTTTATAACTTGTTGCAAACATGTATGAGCCTTTATGATGTCTTTTAATAAGGCTTATAATATGGTATGTCTCTATGAAGGAAATGTTCTACCGTCTCAAAATGGCTGGTCATGCCATAGAGATTTACTAGAGAGCTCATCACCTGTCTTTCCAATGGCCTCTTCTGTGACAGCATGGGCAGAGCCATTGAGGGCCATCTCCATTTTAAAGTAGTCCATTCTTTTACTTCTATGAGTGTATCGGCATAAATAAACTGAAAAGGTGCATACAACCACCTACTGTGCTGGAGTGTGTATAGTCTGAATAGGTATAAAGTCTATGTTGGTGATTTAATGCCACCTGCAGCAGTTATGGAATGTTTGCTTAGGAGTATAATTCATTGGCTTACCCCTTCTGCTGACCTGGATGGAATTATGGGATCCTTCTTTAACCCATAGCAAGTCCCATGCGCTGTCCATGCTAAAAGGCTATGGGCCAAGTGTGCCGTCTATTCAACTCTATGAGTCAGGCTCTTTATAAGATGAATATAACACATTATAAGGTGGTCATACATGCTCATGACAAGACTTACAAGGCTGTATAACTGCATCATAATGCACATCTACAACACAGAGGAACAGGGGGGATACTGGTGCATTTCTATCGTTCTGTGTTGTCATGATCGTCGAAGGAGGAGGACCAAGGCGCAGCGTTGAAGGTGAACATATTTTATTAATTTGAATGATAACACGAACAAAAACAACAAACGATAACGTGACGTCCAAAGGTGCAAACACAAACCTATACAGGAACAAGATCCCACACCATACTGTGGGAAACAGGCTGACTAAGTATGGTTCCCAATCAGAGACAACAAGCAACAGCTGATTCACGTTGCCTCTGATTGAGAACCACACTGGCCAACATAGAAACATAATACTAGACCGAACACAAATGAAAACTCACACCCTGGCTCAACATACTAGAGTCCCCAGAGCCAGGGCGTGACAGTACCCCCCCCCCAAAGGCGCGGACTCCGGCCGCGCCAACCAAACACCACAGGGGAGGGACCGGGTGGGCACTCCGCCTTGGCGGCGGATCCGGCTCCGGGCCTGATCCCCACTCCCTCTCCAACCCCCCAAAGTACCCCTGGTCCGGTCTGGCCCCGCTGGCCGGAGCTGGACTACACAATGGTGGAGCGGATTGCTCTAGCTCCGGCGTGAAGCAGCTGACCGGTGCCGGACCAGGCACCGGTGGAACAGGCACGGGCCGTGCCGGACTGACGACGCACACCACTGGCTTGGTGTGGGGAGCAGGAACGGGCCGGACCGGGCTGGCGACGCTCACCATAGGCTTGGTGCGGGGAGCAGGAGCGGGCCGGACCGGGCTGGCGACGCGCACCATTGGCCTGGTGCGGGGAGCAGGAACAGGCCGGGCCGGGCTGGCGACGCGCACCATAGGCTTGGTGCGGGGAGCAGTAACAGGCCGGGCCGGGCTGGCGACGCGCACCATTGGCTTGGTGCGGGGAGCAGGAACAGGCCGGGCCGGGCCGGCGACGCGCACCATTGGCTTGGTGTGGGGAGCAGGAACAGGCCGGGCCGGGCTGGCGACGCGCACCATTGGCTTGGTGCTGGGAGCAGGAACAGGCCGGGCCGGGCTGGCGACGCGCACCATTGGCTTGGTGCAGGGAGCAGGAGCGGGCCGGACCGTACTGGGGACACACACCACTGGCCCTACGCGGGGATCAGGAACGGGCCGGACCGGACTGGTAACACACCCCAGTACCTCACACAAATGAAAACTCACACCCTGGCTCAACATACTAGAGTCCCCAGAGCCAGGGCGTGACATGTGTGTCCATTATATTGACTTAATGTCTATAAATGAGAGTTTATCAGTGGCGGTCAGTGCCGTTTAAGATGAGGGAGGATTTTTTTTTAAATCATGAGCATGGCCTTATTTCTATTACAGCATATTGGATGACTGTCATTCATATTACATTCACCCAGTTCAATGCAACAGCGATAGGTTTAGACTACTACATGATACTTGAATTTTCCCTATACCCATCATGAGGTTGCTACAACCTAGCCTATTTGAGGTGACAGACAGTGACACATGGACAGACAGTGACACATTCAATACATCTGCATCTAGCTGATATAGGGTGTAATCATTAGTCCAACAGTTGCAAGCGAGTGTTTCTATTAGACAAATTCAGGTATGTTTATCCACGTTTTTTCCCGTTTAAGAAACGTTTTTCAACAGAATCGGAAGAATGAATAAACCCCTGATCACGCGTAAACACAGTTCACTTTCGTAGCAGCCACGTTGTATTCCATCTCACATCTATGCGCTCTCCTCCTCTCACCTTTTCCCTTTGCTTGTGGACTTCATCACATCAGCTGTATGTGACCAGGCAAAAAAAACTTTCCAAACCATATCATAACCGCTACACACAGCCTATATCCTTGTCACCATATTAGCTAAAGTAACGTCATAGTCAACATAGCTAATAGAACTAACGAGTAAGTAAACCCGCTACAATCATGCAGTAACGTTACAGTCAGTAAGCAGTTCAGCACTTACACTGGCGGGCCCCGGTGGCAATAAATTAGTATAACCAAAAGCTTACCTTGACTTGGAATAGTTCCAGTGTAGTATTGGATAGTCATAGCCAGGTAGCTAACATAGCATCCCTCTGTTTGAGCAGGGTGTTTGAGTAGACTAAACTTTGCTAGCTAAGTAAGTGAAACTGACAGTTTACAAAAAAATTACGAAATCTCTCTCTCTATCTCTCTCTTGCTTCTCCTTCATTTTGGAAGAAATGTATTTCTGTTCAACTATTGTCTTTCTCTCTCTTTGAGTCAACTACTCACCACATTGTATACACTGCAGTGCTAGCTAGCTGTAGCTTATGCTTTCAGTAATAGATACATTCTCTGATCCTTTGTTTGGGTGGACAACATGTCAGTTCATGCTGCAAGAGCTCTGATAGGTTGGAAGACGTCATCTGGATGTTGTCATAATTACTGTGTAAGTCTATGGAAGGGGGTGAGAACCATGAGCCTCCTAGGTTTTGTATTGAAGTCAATGTACCCAGAGGAGGACGGAAGCTAGCTGTCCTCCGGCTATACCACAGTGCTACCCTACAGAGTGCTGTTGAGGCTGCTGTAGACATTCATTGCAAAATAGTGTGTTTTAATCAATAATTTGGTGACATGATTATATTTAGTATAGTTTTATCTAAAAAATATAACTTTAAAAATGTTTTACAATTTTTATTTTTTATGAAATTCACTGAGGAGGATGGTCCTCCCCTTCCTCCTCTGAGGAACCTCCACTGGAGTGTATATACTGGTGGAGCGTCCCATCAGCGTCAAAAGATTCTAAATGCTTAACACCTGGGAATGTTGAGGAACATTGCTAGACACTGCAAATTCAGGTCCTGGACTTTGGAGGTAACGTCTGTGCCGTCACACTGATGCAAAGGGGTTTCAGAGAAACAGAGTACAGACAATATATTTAAATATATAACTCTAGAATGGGCATTGGGATCCTAGCAACATCCTTAAAAATCAACCATGTTGGTCAGGAAAACTTTAATTTTAGAAACTGATCAAATATGGTTTCAACACTAAGTCATGGGAACCATTCAGATTCTTTCTCGTTGTGCTCAGAGTCTTGGTCCAATTAAGGTCTAGAACAGGTTTAGAAGTCCACTCACCACAACTCTGATGTGTTTGGCCAGGTCTTTGGAGCTACCACTCAGGCAGTCAGAGAAGGCGTGTGCAGACGGCAAACAGTTTGAAACAAAGTGAAACTTTGTGAATGCTTGTTTTCCATTTCAAAATGTTTCGAAACATTTTGCCCTAATGAACATGACCCAGATATACAGTAAACCAGATCAGACACAGAGCAAACAATCCATAGTGAGAGAGGATCAAAGTGAGATATTTAATCGAAGCACTCACTCCTGCATAGAACATCTTATTCTGCAAACGGCTATTGACTTTCTCCGGGTTGGCCTCTAAGAGAGAGAGAAGTATTGCTTTAGGCTGCAGTAACAATTATTATAGTGAAGTCATTTCAGCTAGTGAATGTCATTTCAGCTAGCGAAAGTAATTTCAGCTAGCGAAATATGAAAATGTTTGACAAACCTCTGGACTCAGTGTGACGTGAGCGTCGAAGCCGAGGCTGAAGTAGTTGTTGAAGACATCAATGGGGAGCTAACAGACAAAGCAGACACATGAAAGATAGCCACCAGAAATAATGTATATAGATATACAGTGAGGGAAAAAAAGTATTTGATCCCCTGCTGATTTTGTATTTTGTCTTGGCCATGGTGGAGAGTTTGGAATCTGATTGATTGATTGCTTCTGTGGACAGGTGTCTTTTATACAGGTAACAAGCTGAGATTAGGAGCACTCTCTTTAAGAGTGTGCTCCTAATCTCAGCTCATTACCTGTATAAAAGACACCTGGGAGCCAGAAATCTTTCTGATTGAGAGGGGGTCAAATACTTATTTCTCCTATTAAAATGCAAATCAATTTACAACATTTTTGACATGCATTTTTCTGGATTTTGTTGTTGTTATTCTGTCTCTCACTGTTCAAATAAACCTACCATTAAAATTATAGACTGATCATTTATTTGTCAGTGGGCAAACGTACAAAATCAGCAGGGGATCAAATACTTTTTTCCCTCACTGTAAGGGCTGATGCAAATACCGTAGATACAGTATGTCAACGAAAAAGTCCCTATCCCATATTATATAAATGTGAATATATCAAAAACTGCATCAATGAATCGCAAAAAAAGAATGTATGTGGTCAATCTTTATGTTGTTATCTTCATTTAATAAAACATTGATAAATACAAATGTTATTGTCATATCACACATGGATAGTGACAGAATGATCACTCCAAACTTAATCTCGGTTAACCCAGAACTAAAGTCTCATGTAATTGGTCAGCTGCTTGATTGAGTTCTGGGTCCATACGTGTTAAGAGAAGGGATTAAGATATGCTAGAACGAGGAGCTCCACCCTCTCTCTTCGCATGTTACAGGCCGAATGTCCCCTCCCCTTCTGCAATTCGAAAGATGCTAACACCTGCAAAATCGTGATTTGTCCAAATAACAAGTGACGAAAAACCCAAACACCGGAACTACTGCTGGTCGTTATCCCATGCACCCCATTCCTTTCCGACAGATTCTACGGTGCCAGTTATGTTTATGTAGATCTGTCCACGAGCGATTACTCTAAACTAAATATGAACTTTAGTGAAGTTCTAATGAACTTTACTATGAACACAGGACTGGTGGTGTCAGTAGTGTCACCTTGCATGTCTGGTGCTCATCCTTCTCCTCTTGACCGGCCTCTGGGTTGGGCTCCATCAGCAGGTTCCAGCGGTCCATCTGCATCACGTTCCCATCCTCCACGTGAGACAGGATCTTAGACACACGCTCATCAGTGTAGCCCTGGGAGATGAAGAGAGAGGAATTTCATAGAGATATTCAAAACAAAAAACAGATTCCATCATAATTAGTATTCTATATGGAAATGAAATAATCAAAACAATATTGAAAAATATAACATTTAAAGATATAATACTGTTGTAACTCACATTAATGTGATGATTCTACCTAGTCTGAGGGACATGACATCCCTCTCTACTGACCACCGTATAACATTTCTAAGCGAAATGTTTTGTTCATGACATGGTTCTCTAGCCAGCCAGTCACTCACCCCTCTCCAGTTGAGGGTCCTGGCCAGGTCGTTTCCCGTCCCCAGGGGCAGGACCGCCATGGCAGGCGCTGGGTTCAACTGGAGCTGGTCTAGAACAGACAGGATCCAACCCACCTGCAGAACCAGGGTAGTGTACGTTAGGCACCAAACTGATTGTTTTACTGAAACTGTGAAGTAATCCTCTCCATACAGTCCTTATATGTCCATCAATATGTTTCAGGAATACAAAATATGTTAAGCATATTACTTATAATATCACTACTGTGAATGTACGTGCTGATGTAGACTAAAGCATGCTTTCTTTCAACTGTCCCATAGCTGCTCACCGTTCCATCCCCTCCACATGTCGAAATCCGCAGATTGGGCACTTTGGAATACATTTCTAACCTTAAAAAAATAAACACAAACCAGGCACACCAATTAAAAACTCAATCACTACTTATGTTGTTATACCATTCAAAACATGATCAAAGGTTTGTGATTGTGAAGGCAGCATCAGTGTGTGGTCTCTTACCCTTCCTTGGGCCCTCCCTGGGTGAGGTCAAACACTTGTCGGGGGTTGAGGTACCACATGAACGACTGGATGATCTTGGCTCCCTGGGTTTTATTTATGAATGCACTGTCTTCCCCATGAAGTGACTGAAAACATTTCACTTTTAAGAAGGCGTGTAAGTAGATGAAAGTGGGCGGCAGGTGGCTTAGTGGTTAAGAGCGTTGTGCCAGTAACCGAAAGGTCGCTGGTTCTAATCCCTGAGCCGACTAGGTGAAAAATCTGTCGATGTGCCCTTGAGCAAGGCACTTAACCCTAATTGCTTCTGTAAGTCGCTCTGGATAAGAGCGTCTGCTAAATGTAAAAATGTAAATACATCATTTATTCAACAGGGAAGATCACATTGAGATTTACAACTCTTTTACAACTGAGCCCATAGACAAGAACAGCAGCCGCAATTAATGAACATCATCAGTAATTCATTCGTACACTAAGGGACACAGACAGTGTTTACTCCCACTTCAGCATAAATCTCTCATTGACATCAATGCATGTTTGAGTTGTGTGCACAAATCTAAAGGATTCAACCCCATACACACGGGTTTCAAGGGTGCTGTGGACATTGAGCAAACTCACCTGATTGCCTCCACTCTTAGGGTTGACAAACACCAGCAGAGGTTTCATGAGTTGAGAGGGGACAGGCTTCACTATGAAGGGCTTCCTGAAGCAGAAAAACACTTGAGACAACAAGATGGCATCCTGTGTCTTCTCAACGTTTTCATCATCATATGCGACAACATAAGAGGACATGATCATAATCACAAGATTGCTTTATGTTAACATGATTTTCCTTACCTCTACTACCTTCTTACTGGGCTTGATGCACATTTCTTCTTTTTACTTGATTTTAATGATGTCTGAGGAGACAAAAACAAATACATCCTTTGAATCAACATATCTGTGTTTGTTGCCTCTGTAGCACCTCTAGTGCTCACTGCTCACCAACAGCTGTCCTGTGTGTGTGTGTGTGTGTGTGTGTGTGTGTGTGTGTGTGTTGAACATTACGACATTACAGTACCTGTGGTTTGCGGACCTGTATGATCCAGGTGGGCGGCACTATGACAGTGGCGTGAGCTCTGAAAACTTCTGTTGGAAACCCTGTGGAGGAATAAGTAACATACGTTTCAAAGCTGCGTCAAGACAGCTCTTAATGGTTTGCAGTACTTCAGTATCTGTAGTGTCTATGTGAATCTAATGTTGTTGAATAATTTTAACTGACCTTCCCACACTGTCGACACTTCCCAATCTGGCTCCTCCTGTGGACCCAATGGTGACGCACAACATTGGGCTGAAATCAGGAAACGTTATTGAGTCAACAACGCATTATAAATCATAATGCACACCAGAGAAGACTTCTGTGTCAATGCACACCAGAGAAGACTTCTGTGTCACTCAAAACTGCTTAGAAATTATTTAAACTAACATTTACTAAAGTAGACTGAATCGGTCCGAAATACAGTCAACAAACAAATAACTTGGGAGAGAAACAAAGATAGCGTTGTGCAGGTAGCATAAATACTGACCTCTGAAATGTTTCGAGATCCCGGTTCCCTAAACGATAGCTTACATCTCAAATTAACCTGTGGAGTGAAAATACAACAACATTGGTCAATGACCCATTGACCCCCTCCAAAAAAGTGAAAACTCCAAACATGAATATTCCTGGTTATTTTGTAGAAGTATAATATAATAATTGATGAAGTTCACGCAGTCACTTACCCTTTCTAGCTGCTCGGTACACATGGTGTGGACTGATATTCTGCAGCCAGCACATTTCTTCCTCGCCACTGACTTTTGCTAGAATCACAGAGAGAACATTTGTCTTTATTTAGCCAATATTAATAATAATCAATTAAATAACAACTATTTTATTTAAAATGTACCCAAAATAATACTTGAATAATGTACTACTGTAACAGTGTCAATAATAACAGTACTGTTGTAGTGAAGGCTCACCAGTGTCTTTGCGATGCAGTACTGCTCTCCAACGTAACAGACGTCTCCTGAGAGACTGGTTTCAAACCAGATATGGTCCCCAAACTGGACATTACCCTGGGAGGACAGAGAAGAGAATATGGAGGTAATCTATCCACATTATAGAGGTTGGAGAGAGTCACTAGTTTTTGCTTCTGTATGTTTGCTTAGGCAACGATCCCCATTTCACCTATTTTTGTCTCCCGATTTAGGTCTAAAACCTGTTTGAACACATTGAAAAAGTTCTAGCAACTAAGCAAAGAATCTTGTTTTAGAGGTTCTATGAGGACAATGTAACAAGAAAAAGCCTCAACTGTGGATATAGCCTCAATATCTGAAATCTCTGCTGTAGCGGCCTTGAATGGGACCTTTCTAAACCGTTATACGCTGTAGGCCAGAATTCAGCATTGAAAAAACGTGTGTGTATGTATGCCGCTTCGTGTGTGTTCAGGAGCAGCAGAGACACACCAGATTTACTTCCTCAGCTATCATACAAACATTTTCAAACAACACTAGCGATAGTCAGTCCTTAAGTCACTATCGAGACCTTTGTCTCAGGCCTCCCTGCCTTTGAGACTGTTAGAGAGGTAGCCATGCTAACTGGGAGATCAATGCTGTAGCAGCGTGTTACTCAGCTCCAACCAGCTAGCGGTCTTTGTTAGCGGTGTCGCTAATGAGGTAGCTCTATGGAGGTGGTCTCTATGTGCTCGAGAATGAGAAGGAAAGGACAGCTCATATGAGGAGTACATCTGATCTGGGGCAGGTTCATTAGGGCAGGGATTCTCAAACTTTTTGGGTCCGGGGACCCCTTTTGTGATTTCAAATTCATCAGGGACCCCCTCATTATCAAAACACAACTCGGAACATCTGGCCACGGAACCTCTGCAGTACCTTAAGGACCCCACTTTGAGAACCCCTACATTAGGACATAGACTATGTTAGCATAAAACATTTTTTTTTGTTGATAGACCTGTGTGACAATGATTGCCTTCGAAAATTTCACCTCAGGAGTTATGAGCATTGTCCCTCACAAAGATCAACACACATGTTCCTCAACAACTGGTCACAAAAAAACACACATTCCTCAAATTAAAAGGACAGCGGGATAGTACTAGTCACTCACAAAACAAAACAAAGCAGCTAGCTACCACAGATTCACACAGGCGTTACGATGGAAGAACACTAACAAAGATGGGACCCTGTCCGATGGAGGTAATGGACTACATACAGAAGGATTTTTTTTTACACGCTCTTATCCAGAGCGACTTACAGTTAGTGAGTGCATACATTTTCCATACTGGCCCCCCGTGGGAATCGAACCCACAACCCTGGCGTTGCAAGCACCATGCTCTACCAACTGAGCTACAGGAGGCCTAGCCAGGGGACGTAGTAGGCACCCAGGGCAGGGCTGAGTGAGCCTGCTGAGTGGCTCCCGGGACTTCTGCAGAATGCGGGGTGGCGGAGGTAGACGGTTGAGCTCCGGCGGTTTGGCAGCGGAGGCTCCCTACCCGGCCAGGGGCTGCCCACCTTGGAGATGGTGGAGATTGGCCGGCCCTGTATTTGACTGGAGCGCTGTACGACGTGGCGTCACACGAGAGACATGACAAGTTCCTCCGCAGGCAGCAGGGGGCACATATGAGGGGCCGAGACGAGGAGACTCTCTTGGCCACCAACCTCAGTGGCAAGGGGGAATGCTGGGTAAGCCACCAGGAAGTGTCCTCGATTTCCCATTTGGAAACATCCAACTTCTCCACCATCTCGGCTGGGTGCTGCAGCTCATTGTCGGGCTCTGAGAGCTGGCTATCCTCTGAGAGGCTGTGGTGGTCATCGGTACTGTCGCCATCCGAGTGGAGGGTGCTGGAGTGGGACAGGGCCCTCTGCCACCTCCGCTGCCCCGCATCTCCACCTGCTGCTCCCCCGCAGCAGGCAGGCCCAGGTTCCACAGGCTCTCCCCTTCCCCGCCCTCCACCTCAGTCACCTGGATGAGGCTGGCCAGCAACATGGAGGGCCCCAGCAGGTGGGTGTCAATGGTGCGCAGCTTTGGCAAAGCGTGGGTTCATGCTGGGCGTTGTGGTGCTGGAGCGTCTCCGGACATTGGCGCCAGAGGATGACTTGGCGCATGATGATTTGCCGTAACCTGCCGCTTTGGCCAGCCGGCCGCCTCCTGCGCAGTGACCCCCCGCCAGCGGGAGTGGGAGCCCCTGTAGCTGCACACTGGAGCGGTGGCGTTGGACCAGAGCAACCGAGGGGAGGCCCACGCTAGAGCGTCGGCAAGCCTTGCTGGTCAGCACAGCGATGCTGGGGCGGCGGTTACTGCAGCAATAGTCCAGCTCCGCCTTTTCGGCCAGCGAGCCTGTCTTCTTTCTCTTAAAGTGGCGGCGGAAAAAGGTAACCCGAGGGAGGGACTGTCCTTTTTAAATACTCCTCTGTGGCTGTTGGCGCAGAAATGAGTCCATGAGCTTGGGTTACAGAATTATCTTAAGAAAGCAACACTATGTGCAAGGGTTGCAAAGGGAGTGTATTTTACTGGAAACTTTTAAAGTTTACCAGTAAACTGCCAGATTTTTTTATCTTTCAAGGATTTTATGTAATCTAATGTAAGACATCTAGTGACCATTTTGGGTACTTCTGATTTTTACAGGCGTCTGTAGTTATCTCTGGCCTTATCAAATAATTAAATATGATTTTCAACAAAAAAATAGAACGACAAAGCTGTAAAACATTATCCTAAATATAAACCATCAACTTAGTGAATACTATTGTTTAATGAGGGTTTCAGCATGAAATATCCTTTATATATATTTTTACACACTTATTTATTTTACTATGTCACAATGTCGTTGTTGTCAATGTTTTGGCGTCAAACTGGTGGCAGTTGAAAATAGTGCCATTGTTGATTAGAGGCTTTTAAAATTAATTAGCCTATTGTGTCTTGAACCATATGGTCTATCTACTAAAACCTCATGGACAATATGGACACATCAAAAATGTGGATTATTTATTAATACATTTTGTGAAAGTCATTCAAGTTTAGTTACCAAAGTTACGATAGATTGCCATAGATTTTCTGTTAATTACCAAGATTACTGAAGATTCTGGTAACTTTGGTAAACTACCGGTAGCTTTTCAACCCTAACAAAAAGACAGTCATATGAACTGGAGGAAGTTAAGCCATAATGGCCTGGTTATGAAGTAGATCATGACTTTTCAGTGTGATACAAGATTCTCTGTTATGTTCTGGGATTTTAAGTAATCGTAGAAATACATATGGACCTCAATTGAACCGGCTATATCTAGGGCTATCTACCAAACAAGCTGTTATGTCACGCCAGTCTAACAGTCCACCGGCCTCCTATCATACATCTAGTGAAAGCCACAGGAGACCAACATAACACTCACTCCATATTCAACACTGAGCAAAGTACAACCAAATCAATAGGCCTACATCCTACCTCCTACGGACGTAGCTCACACATCCTCAGTAATAAAAAGACTATCAGACACACATAGATAACCAATCTGGGCCAATCATGTCCTAGCCTACGCCCACATTCATCTCCATATCGGTCCAAATCAAATGCTAAACACTCACTTTGATCCACCTCATTGCTTGCTCCATTGAAAAAGTACACAGATTAAATTAAATATGTCTCCCCTGCACAAAGGACGAGGGCAGAACGGGGTGGGATGAGGATGAGGCACGACAAGAACCATGAATAATGTTAAAGAAAAGGGGGGAGAGGATGGACCAAAGCCATTTCGCTGCGCCCGGCGAGGGTGAATGGACTGGTAATGAGGATAGAGGAGAAGAGAGAACAGGGTAGGAGGATGAAGGGAGAAAAAAAACATGAAAGGAATAAATCAGCTGCAAATAGAAAGGAAGTTGAATGCGGTGTAAAGTAACACTGTCAGAATAGAGACCCAGAGGCTTCGTGTATATCGGTCCACTGTATTACCAAAAAGGTCAGCTGGTGGGCTCAGTCCCCTCCTGTACTCCCTGTTCACCCATGACTGCATGGCCATGCATGACTCCAACACCATCATTAAGTTTGCCGATGACACAACAGTGGTAGGCCTGATCACCGACAACGATGAGACAGCCTATAGGGAGGAGGTCAGAGATCTGGCCATGTGGTGCCAGGACAACAACCTCTCCCTCAACGTGACCAAGACAAAGGAGATGATTGTGGACTACAGGAAAAAAAAGAGGACTGAGCACGCCCCCATTCTCATCGACGGGGCTGTAGTGGAACAGGTTGAGAGCTTCAAGTTCCTTGGTGTCCACATCACCAACGAACTATCATGGTCCAAACACACCAAGACAGTCGTGAAGAGGGCACGACAAAGCCTATTCCCCCTCAGGAGACTAAAAAGATTTGGCATGGGTCCTCAGATCCTCAAAAAATTCTACAGCTGCACCATCGAGAGCATCCTGACTGGTTGCATCACCGCCTGGTATGGCAACTGCTTGGCCTCTGACCGCAAGGCACTACAGAGGGTAGTGCGTACGTCCCAGTACATCACTGGGGCAAAGCTTCCTGCCATCCAGGACCTCTATACCAGGCGGTGTCAGAGGAAGGCCCTCAAAATTGTCAAAGACTCCAGCCACCCTAGTCATAGACTGTTCTCTCTGCTACCGCACGGCAAGCGGTACCGGAGTGCCAAGTCTAGGTCCAAAAGACTTCTCAACAGCTTCTACCCCCAAGCCATAAGACTCCTGAACAGCTAATCATGGCTACCCGGACTATTTGCACTGCCCCCCCACCCCATCCTTTTTACGCTGCTGCTACTCTGTTAAGTATTTATGCATAGTCACTTTAACTCTACCCACATGTACATATTACCTCAACTACCTCAACTAGCCGGTGCCCCCGCACATTGACTCTGCAACGGTAACCCCCTGTATATATAGCCTCCCTACTGTCACTTTATTTTACTTCTGCTCTTTTTTTCTCAACACTTTTTTTTGTTGTTGTTTTATTCTTACTTTTTTTGTTTAAAATAAATGCACTGTTGGTTAAGGGCTGTAAGTAAGCATTTCACTGTAATGTCTGCACCTGTTGTATTCGGCGCATGTGACCAATAAAATTTGATTTGATTTGATTTGATTTGATTTGAGACAGGGGGTTATAAAGGGAATACAATGTAACATAATGGGAAACAGGTGAAAACAATCAAGACAAACTAGACAAACACCGAAACATCGATCGGTGGCAGCTAGTACTCCGGGGACGACGAACGCTGAAGCCTGCCTGAGCAAGGAGGAGGAGCAGCCTCGGCTGATTCCGTGACAGTACCCCCCCCCCCCCTTGACGCGCGGCTCCAGCCGTGCGCCGACCCCGGCCTCGGGGACGGCCAGGAGGACGCGGAGCAGTGTGAGTCGGATGACTCCGGTGGAAGTCCCTCAACATGGAGGGATCTAGGATGTCCCTCCTAGGGACCCAGCACCGTTCCTCCCGACCATACCCATCCCACTCCATGAGATACTGCAGGCCCCTCATCCGACGCCTCAAATCCAAGATGGAACAGACTGAGTATGCCGGAGCCCCCTCGATGTCCAACGGGGGCGGAGGAGCCTCTCGTACCTCACTCTCTTGGAGTGGACCAGCCACCACCGGCCTGAGGAGAGACACATGGAACGAGGGGTTAATGCGGTAATTAATGGGCAGTTGTAACCTATAACATACCTCGTTCAATCTCCTCAGGACTTTAAATGGCCCCACAAACCACCGACCCAGCTTCCGGCAGGGCAGGCGAAGGGGCAGGTTTCTGGTCGAGAGCCAGACCCGATCTCCCGGTGCATACACCGGAGCCTCACTGCGGTGGCGATCGGCGCTCGCCTTTTGCCGCCTGATAGCCCGCTGCAGATGGACATGCGCAGCGATCCAGGTCTCTTCCGAGCGCCGAAACCACTCGTCCATCGCAGGGGCTTCAATCTGGCTCTGATGCCAAGGTGCCAGGACCGGCTGATAACCCAGCACACACTGAAAAGGCTTAAGGTTAGTGGAGGAGTGGCGGAGTGAGTTTTGGGCTATTTCTGCCCAGGGAATATATCCCGACCACTCCTCCTGCCGGTCCTGGCAATAGGACCTCAGAAACCTACCCACATCCTGGTTCACTCTCTCCATCTGCCCATTACTCTTGGGGTGAAAACCTGAGGCAAGGCTAATCGAGACCCCCAGACGTTCCATAAATGCCCTCCAGACTCTAGAGGTGAACTGGGGACCCCGATCAGACACTATATCCTCAGGCACCCCGTAGTGCCGGAAGACGTGAGTGAACAGGGCGTCAGCAGTTTGTAGGGCAGTAGGGAGACCTGGCATAGGAATGAGACGGCAGGCCTTCAAAAACCGATCCACAACGACCAAGATCGTCGTGTTCCCCTGGGAGGGGGGAAGGTCCGTGACAAAATCCACCGATAGGTGAGACCACGGCCGTTGTGGAACGGGTAGGGGTTGTAACTTCCCTCTGGGCAGGTGTCTAGGCGCCTTACACTGGGCGCACACCGAGCAGGAGGAAACATAAACCCTCACGTCCTTAGCTAAAGTGGGCCACCAGTACTTCCCACTAAGGCAGTGCACTGTCCGACCAATACCAGGATGGCCAGAGGAGGGTGACATGTGAGCCCAATATATCAATCGATCGCGAACCTCGAGCGGCACGTACTTCCGACCCTCTGGACACTGTGGGGGAGTAGGATCGGTACGTAGCGCCCGCTTGATGTCCGCATCAACCTCCCACACCACCGGTGCCACCAGACAAGACTCCGGAAGTATGGGAGTGGGCTCAATGGTCCTCTCCTCTGTGTCATATAGTCGGGACAGGGCATCTGCCTTAGCGTTCTGTGACCCTGGTCTATAGGTGAGCTTAAATACAAATCGGGAAAAAAACATAGCCCACCTTGCCTGGTGAGGGTTCAGCCTCCTCGCTGCCCGGATGTACTCCAGGTTACGATGGTCAGTCAGAATGAGAAAAGGGTGTTTAGCCCCCGCAAGCCAATGCCTCCACACCTTCAGGGCTTGAACCACAGCTAACAGCTCCCTGTCCCCCACGTCATAATTGCGCTCCGCCGGACTGAGCTTCTTAGAATAGAAAGCACAGGGGCAGAGTTTTGGTGGCGTACCCGAGCGCTGAGACAGCACAGCGCCGATCCCAGCCTCGGACGCATCCACCTCAACTTGGAACGCCAAAGAGGGATCCGGATGTGCCAGCACCGGAGCCGAGGTAAACAGGTCCTTCAGATGTCTAAACGCCCTGTCCGCCTCAGCCGACCACTGCAGACGCACCGGACCCCCCTTTAGCAGGGAGGTAATGGGAGCTGCTACCTGTCCAAAGCCCCGGATAAACCTCCGGTAGTAATTTGCAAAACCCAAGAACCGCTGCACTTCCTTCACCGTGGTGGGAGTCTGCCAATTACGCACGGCAGAAACGCGGTCAATCTCCATCTCCACCCCTGACGCGGACAACCAATGTCCCAGGAAGGAGATAGACTCCTGGAAGAACAGACATTTCTCCACTTTTGCATACAGGTCATGCTCTAACAGTCTACCAAGCACTCGACGCACCAGGGACACATGCTCGGCTCGTGTAGCGGAGTATGTTAGAATGTCATCAATATACACCACTACACCCTGTCCATGCAAGTCCCGGAAAATCTCGTCCACAAATGATTGGAAGACTGAAGGAGCATTCATTAAACCGTATGGCATGACGAGGTACTCATAGTGACCCGAGGTGGTTCTGAATGCTGTCTTCCACTCATCTCCCTCCCTAATGCGCACCAGGTTGTATGCGCTCCTGAGATCCAATTTTGTGAAGAATCGCGCCCCGTGTAATGACTCCGTCATACTAGCAATCAGAGGGAGAGGATAGCTGTATTTGATTGTGATCTGATTGAGACCACGGTAATCAATACATGGGCGTAAACCCCCATCCTTCTTCTTCACAAAAAAAAACTCGAGGACGCAGGGGAAGTGGACGGCCGTATGTATCCCTGTCTCAGAGATTCGGTGACGTATGTCTCCATAGCCGCCGTCTCCTCCTGAGACAGATGATACACATGACTATGCGGAAGCACAGCGCCTACTTGGAGGTCTATTGCACAATCCCCCTGTCGATGAGGTGGTAATTGAGTCGCCTTCTTTTTACAGAAGGCGAGTGCCAAATCGGCATACTCAGGTGGAATGTGCATGGTGGGAACTTGGTTCGGGCTTTCCACCATCGTTGCCCCTACGGAAACACCTACACACCGCCCGAAACACTGATCAGACCATCCCTTGAGAGCCCTCTGTTGCCATGAAATGTTGGGGTCATGAGATGTTAACCAGGGAAGCACCAACACCACGGGAAACGCAGGAGAATCAATCAAATACAAACGTAGTATCTCCTCATGGCCCTCCTGCGTTTTCATCCTGAGAGGCGCTGTGACTTCCCTAATCAATCCTGACCCCAAAGGGCGGCTATCTAGGGCATGGATGGGGAAGGGCACATCAACTGGTACAAAAGGAATCCCTAACTTATAGGTGAATTGGCGATCGATAAAATTCCCAGCTGCGCCTGAATCTACTAGCGCCTTATGCTGGGAGTGAGGAGAAACCTCGGGAAACACAACTTTAATAC